AACCCTATGTGTAGAGGTGGCGCGCGCGCTGGCGCTGCAGCAGCTGGCGGAGGGCGTGGCGCGCGCGCTGGGCTCGCTGGTGGGCGCGCCCGCCGCCGCGCGCGGCGCCCGCAAGCTCTTCCACACGCTGCAGCACACCACGCACAACAAGCAGCTCTTCTACGTGAGCACACATTACATTGTATTCCTATCGCGACGCGAGCTGGCAGCCCTGCGTGCGGCGGGCTGGCGCGCGCGCTGGGCTCGCTGGTGGGCGCGCCCGCCGCCGCGCGCGGCGCCCGCAAGCTCTTCCACACGCTGCAGCACACCACGCACAACAAGCAGCTCTTCTACGTGAGCACACATTACATTGTATTCCTATCGCGACGCGAGCTGGCAGCCCTGCGTGCGGCGGGCTGGCGCGCGCGCTGGGCTCGCTGGTGGGCGCGCCCGCCGCCGCGCGCGGCGCCCGCAAGCTCTTCCACACGCTGCAGCACACCACGCACAACAAGCAGCTCTTCTACGTGAGCACACATTACATTGTATTCCTATCGCGACGCGAGCTGGCAGCCCTGCGTGCGGCGGGCTGGCGCGCGCGCTGGGCTCGCTGGTGGGCGCGCCCGCCGCCGCGCGCGGCGCCCGCAAGCTCTTCCACACGCTGCAGCACACCACGCACAACAAGCAGCTCTTCTACGTGAGCACACATTACATTGTATTCCTATCGCGACGCGAGCTGGCAGCCCTGCGTGCGGCGGGCTGGCGCGCGCGCTGGGCTCGCTGGTGGGCGCGCCCGCCGCCGCGCGCGGCGCCCGCAAGCTCTTCCACACGCTGCAGCACACCACGCACAACAAGCAGCTCTTCTACGTGAGCACACATTATATTGTACGGCATACAAACGGAAAGACCGCGGCGACCAGTGCGTTCCGCGTAATGCGTTCCAAATGTTCAAAGTATATTAACTAAGCAAAGCGCGCGTGGCCGTGACAGTTTTCCAGTTCGTAACGACCGACATCCATGTTGAACGGTCAAACAACTGGCGACGAGCAACTACCGCTTTCATAGTTATTCATAATTCTCTCCATGCATCTTCTCTGAGCGCTTATCCATAGCTCGGAGCGCAACAAGGTACTCAATTCGACTGTATGTTTTTTTATGTGTGTTACCTCATAACTTTTTACTGGGTGAACCGATTTCGATGTTTCTTTTTTTATATTAAAGTTGATACTTCTCGTGTGCTCCCATATGAATTTGATTAAGGTCAGAAAAATAGTTTTTGAGTTATTCTTAATAACTTATATTGAAGTCGGCTGTACAAAATTTTTAATTTTAAATTATGTTGTAGTCAGATAATTGCTAAAATTAAAATATTGGTTTGTTTTGTATGATTAAAATAGTCATAGGTACATAATTAACTTGTGTATTATAAAAATTTATAAAAAACTAACAAATAAATGTCTATGCACTTGAATTAATATTTAGATATGGAATATTATAGTTTCTAAATTTTTCTGCATTTTAAAGCAACAGTTTACTCCTTCTTCTCTTCTCTCGCAGGCAATCGCAGCTTCAGAGAAAAAAACGCTCTGAATATACACTATTCTCCCCAGACGAATATTTTTGCCTAATATTCGACTAATCGGCGTGTGGTCGAATATACTATTCGTTGCAAGTCTAATTCTTATCCACTATCTTATCGTATTTGCCAAAACACGTTCACACGTTAGCGGTGTAGTGGCGGTGTTAGAATGACCGCTACCTCATATCATCCCGTGGGTGTCGTAAGAGGCCACAAAGAGAAACGAATCAGGAGATGGGCAGCAGCGTCTACCTAATAACGACTAAAATAAAGCGGGCTTCCAACCCGCTTGCCAATCGTGCCAACTATATCAAATATTCCCCTTATGAGGCAATCTACGGGGCCTATGTTCAGCAGTGTAATAGGCTGTAACGGTAACGGTTGCCAAAGCACAGTTTTTACCGCCTCTCAAATAACCATATTATTTTCTTGTCAACTAAGGTTTTTAATAAGAATTTAAATAGTCTTCAGTTTATTTAAGAGATTATAGATTTTTTTTGCATTACAACATACCAATACTTCACCGTAGCAAAACCCATCTACTCATATACTAATTATGCGCGATTTCGATACATCGAAACGGTACTAAAACGATTTATAAAAAAAAAATTATAAAATAAGGGTGAGAAGCGAGCACACAGTCCACATGATCATAAGTGGATGCTGCGGCTTATAGACATCTCCATGGATTAAGAATCAAAATGCAGATGCGATGTCACCCTTGAGAAATGCCTCGTTTCCAGTAAAATGGGCCACCGGTTCTCTACACTCACCATACGAAACAAAGCAACATTAACATGCTATTTTACGCTAGTATTTTGTGAGAGCGTGGTCCTATCCCGGTTGTGTCCGTTCGTGCTGCAGCCATAATATAATAGCATGGCTCTACCACGTTTAAATAATATGCTTAACAAGTAAAACGGTTTTTGCAATAACGCTAAATCTAAGTGAACCGAAATGCAACCTCTCTAAAGATTCCAACGTATAAAGATAACCATATCGTTACATCCGTCAAAGCAACGTTACTATCAATCTACTCATTTTAGATTTGCTGCTAGAAATTTCTTTACAGAAAAGACCCAATAAATTAGTTTTTGCCCGACCTGAGATTTGAATCCGGGACCACATGATCCGTAATCGCGCCTACGGTCACTAGAGCAGCGAGACAGTCATATACGTATGTTAATTAGATATAAACTTTTAAAATACGTAATTATGTTTACAAAGCTATTTTTTTTTGTATTTAAAAACGTTACCCGCACACTAGGATTTTCTCCTCTGTCGTGGAGGCAGTTTACAAACATAAATTACACGAGGACAAACATCCAGACCCGGAACAATTATTTATAGGCCATACAAATACTTGTTCCGTACGGGATTCGAACCCGCGGCCATTAGCGCAGCAACTCATTGCTAAGCCACTGCGCCACGGGGCCGTCAATTATACGGCTTTTTAATATTCAATGTATAATAACATTGAATATTAAAAACTAAATGAAATATAGATGTAATAAATAAAAAATGTACATCAACATTTTTTTTTACTTCTTATAAGCCAGTGCTCGACCACAATCCCACCTGGTGGTAAGTGGTGATGCAGCCTTAGATGGTAAATCGCACTGTCTTAGCGTAACAAAAGCCTATTCACTTTTGACTTGAAAACGCCCAGATTGTATACGGACGGAAAGATAGACGCCGGCAAATTATTCCACTCCTTTACTGTACGCATTACAAAAGTCGAAGCTAACCGTTTGATTCTAATGCGTGGAATATCGACAACGAAGGGATGAAGACCCGCCTATCGCCTGGTTGTCCGATGGTGGAAAGGAGAGGGAGGAATTAAAGCGTGTAACTCCTGCGCACACTCACCGAAATGCATCCTATAGAATACCCAGAGACTAGCTACTCTGCGCCTGTGCAAGTGCGAGGCTGACAAGATTGGTTTCAGCCAAATCAAGGTCACCAATGAGCCTCTTAGCAGATCTCTCCACTGAGTCCAATGCTGCCAGGTAGCATTTTGCAGCACCAGCCCATATGTGACAGTAGTACTCCATCCACGACCGGACTTGCGCTTTATATAAGGTAAGAAGCTGCCCCGGCGTGAAGTATCGCCGCACTCTTGCAAGGACACCAAGTTTCCTTGCCGCTGCTTTGGCTCTGGACTCAAATGAACCGCCTATAGTTGAGGTTCGGAGAAAATTCAACCCCAAACAACTGAAGGCGATCAGTGTACTCCAAGGATACATTTCGGATAGTAGGCCAAGGTGAGCGGCCTCCTTTTAGCGGTGAAAAGACACGCTTGTGTTTTGGAGGCCTTATATCTCACGAGATTGGCATCGCTCCATTCGGAGACTGCCTGTAGTGTGAGACTCACATGCTCAGCTTCTCTTTCTGACTGGATTTGATTCCGACTGGCCCAGGCACTTGGTTGGTATCTTTCCACAACTGTGCTGTCGTCTGCATACCCATAGATATCGGGAATGAGCAGATCATTTATATGCAGTAGGAAGAGAGTTGCGGAGAGAACGGACCGGACCCCTGAGGAACACCGGCGTTAGTCGCCACAGTATCGGATGAGCAGCCATCGACGACCACCCGGAGAGACCGTTCACTCAGAAAGTCCTTCATCCAGACAATCAGGCTGGGGGATAAGCCGTACGCTGAAAGCTTGCCCAATAGACTAGCGTGCTAAACCCTGTCAAAGGCCTTCGAAACTTTGAGGGAAACAGCAAGTGCTATACCACTGTTCTCTAGGGGTTCGCCCCATATGTGTGTGGCGTTGTCCGATTTCGGCGAAACCCGTACTGGTGATCACTGAGTAGATCATTTTGCTTTAGGTACGCCATGAGGTGGGCGTTCAATATACGCTTCATAATCTTGCAGAGTATGGAGGTAATTGAAATTGGCCGATAGTTGGCAGGGTCGGTACGGCTACCTTTTTAGGCACAGGTTGCACATTGGCCAGCTTCCAAGATTTGGGCACACATTCGATTGATTTGATTTATTACATAATAATCAAGATAACAAGATCCATCAAAGCTCATTGATTCATTACAGGCTACCAAAATCTCTACTGCTGAAGATAGGCCTCTCCAATAGATTTCCTCATAGTTACCTCGGTGCCAATCGTGGTAACTATGCAGGTTAGCAACCGCAGTTTTTATTTACCTTTATCGCCTCATTAAAAAAAAACATAGCAGAAAATGACATACACATTTTAAAAGATTGTCTATTCATGATACATTTGACCATCACACAATATTAATATTTAATACTTTTCTAATTTATATTAATATTATTTATAGCTTGTAAAACGTTTATTTTTTATATATAATAACATTATTGTTTTTAAAATAATGAAAGGTATTAACATAATAAGTTAATAAGATACTTTTTAGATTACATTTGTTTTATTCAATATTAAAAGTAATGAAATAATGGTATATTAACATTTTATATTTTTTCGATTAGCTGCATCTATTAAAAATACACCTATAATAGTTATTAATATTAAAGGTCCTAAAATGTACATAATAAACACTATGATAACTAAGGCGATGACAATTATTGTATGGAAATTGTTACTTTCGATGGATACAGTAATTTTCTGCGGAGGTTTCCCCACGGTTGTTATTGTCTGAAATAAAACAATGCAATTAGGTGGTTGCCTATTGTAGAATATTATTTAGATAAAAAATAAACTTACACTAAATTCCAAGCTATCATCTTCATTTTTGATTTGTAAAATTTTCTCCCCAAGTATACTCTCTGTAATAATGTAAATATTATTAAATATCAGATTTGCCATTTAAATAATAGTACAGTTCCAAGACTTTTATAGATTTTTTTGACTTTTATAGATTTACTGCTTGGATAATGGAAACATCTTTTTTATTTTATAGAAGAGGGGGCAAACGAGCATGCGGCTCACCTGATGGTAAGTGACTACCGCCGCCCATGAACAACCGCAACACCAGGGGAATTGCAGATGCGTTGTCGGCCTTTTAGAAAGGTGTAAGCTCTTTTATTGAAGTTTCCTAAGTCGTATCGGTCCGAAAAATTCGCTGGTGGTAATTGATTCCACAAGGAAGTTGTGCGAGGGAGAAAACTTCTTCTAAATCGCACAGTGGTGGACCGCCAATCATCCAGATGGTATGGATGGTAACGCGAGTTTTGTCGCGATGTGCGATAGTGAAATTGAGCGGCTGGAATTAGTCCGAACAATTCCTCAGAGCACTCCCCGAGATAGATGCGATAAAATACGCAAAGAGATGCAACATCTTTACGCAGTGCCAGTGAGTCAAGCCGATCGGAAAGAACTCGGTCGTCGACGATTCGAACCGCTCTGCGCTGGATGCGGTCAAGTGGAAGGAGCTGGCACTGGGGAGCCCCTGCCCAGAGATGGGAACAGTATTCCATGTGAGGCCGAACCTGCGCCCGCATGAAATACTGTCCCGCTCTGCTGAGCACGCCAAGCTTTTTAGAGGCCAATTTGGCCTTCTCTTCCAAGTGACCACGAAACTGCACGTCACTCGATATGTCGACACCGAGGATAAAGATACTGGCTGAGGCAGCAAGGGGAGTGCCTTGAAACTGAGGAGATACGACAAAGGGGTTCTTTTTAGCGGTAAACGCGCAAACTTGTGTCTTCTGGGGATTGAAATGGACTAGATTTAGTCGCCCCCAATCCGAGACTTTGTTAAGCAAAGACTCGACTTCAGACACAAGTTTGTCCCGGTACTCGGCGACGTTTTCCCGAGAAAAAATTGCCCCGGCCGGTATATAAGGCATCACCAGTGCTGTCGTCAGCATAGCAATGAATGCTACCAGTTAGCAACATATCATTGATATGCAGGAGAAACAGCGTTGGTGATAGCACGCAGCCTTGTGGAACACCAGCGTTGATATGCTTGAAATTTAAAAAAAACAACGGCCAAACTAACCGCCAATGCCTCCCTCTTGGACTCTACTGCCTCCGCCCATCTATGAGTCAGATAGACTAAAAGATCACCAGCTGATCGACCCCGACGAAAACCGTACTGGCGGTCACTAATCAGCTTGTGATCCTCAAGGTACCTCATGAGCTGGCAGTTTATAATGGATTCCATTATTTTGGAGAATAAGGAGGTGATGGCGATTGGCCTGTAGTTGGACGGGTCTGAGCGGTCGCCTTTTTTAGGAATCGGGTGGACCAAAGCTGTCTTCCATGAATTCGGGACTATGCCTTGGGAGTAGGAGTACAGGAAAAGACGCGTTAAAACCGGTGCCAAATCCGGAGTACACGTCTTCAGCACAATGGGAGGGACTCCATCGGGCCCACTCGACTTGCTGACGGCCATGGAGCACTCACATCGCGGCATGGTCAACGGTGTTTTCCCCCCGTCATCTAAAGTCGAGTTTGACGCAAAGAGAGAGCTCAACGGATCGGCTTTCTCCTTTGCGGCATGGGCCAGTGAGTCGTCCTCTCTGTGCAGAGATGGAAGATATGGCTGACAGAAGTTCCCTTGGACAGCCTTGGCGAGAGACCAGAATGCACGGGTTCGCGAAGGAAGGCGAACTAGCTTCCCGCCAATTCTGCTAATGTGCTCAGACCTTGCCTTGGTAATGACGCTTTTGAAGGACCTGGAGGCGGAATTATACTTCTTTTTCAGTGCGCTGGTGTTTACATCCTGAGACGTTGATGCGTCAGCCCAAGCCCGGTAGCACTCCTGCTTATAGCGTGATGCTATTTTACAGGAGCGACCAAATCATGGCTGGGATCTGCCTCCGATGGGCACCACAGAGGATGGAATAAAAAGTTCCATGCCCTGAAGTACAACATCAGCAACAGAATCGGCAACAACGCTGGGATCTTCCGGCGAGAAGCAAACCCGCCCTCAAGGGTAGGATGCAAAAAAGACCGCATCCCGTCCCAATCAGCTGACCTATAGTGCCAAACACGGCGGCAAGCTGCAGATCGCAACTGCGATTGGAGCGTAAGCATCTTGTAGAACTGTGATAGCAACTTGAATAACCTGGGTTTGATCCCCGCCGGCACCAATGAAATTGTTTATTGCGATATTAAGTGCTGATTTATTATTATTAATAATAATAATATTATTATATTTTATGATTTCGAATAATTAATTGCACTTGTTCTCACAACTCCCAAAGTTGATTGATAGAGAAAGCCAATAGGCATTAAGTTCGCCAGTTGCAACCTTTTATTTGATAAGGTTGTAATAAATAATAAATAAATAACTGTCCTGCAGACCGAATCTCTCTCACAATTTCTCTTGCAATCTCAAAAGGGTGGGAGGTCCCCCTGGGCAGGATACATCATTTTCTTTCTTTACGCGGAATTAAGCAAATTCGTTTTTAACAACCCCATTATATTTTATTCTTTTTAGTTTTTGAAGTTGGTTTTTCCTTTTTATGATAAGTTTTTTGTCTCTTCCTAAAGTTCAAATATAATATAATAGATGTTTTTAAAATGTAATTAAAATATTGGACCGATTCGGTAATTAAACTAGTCTGGCTGATCTATTATGATGACGATGCACGAGACATGAACATTTAGCTTAGCAGTAAATAGTAAACCCGAACAGACCAGAATCATAAGAAGCAGTGATTTTTACAACAAGATGGTAGGGACAGTATACATATAGGCTATGAGACGTTGCATCTCAGTCTTATGTGGTGACAACGTACCTTTTTCATTTGCAGTTGGTGTGTCTATGGGCTACAGTAATCCAATTATAATCAGGTGGACTGGCGGTTTGTTTGTTATTTCAATTTCATAAAAAACAAATATGTGGCATGCGATTGCATAAGTTCAATTAGTTCATCGTCAATCCATAAAAAAACTTCAGCGAGACAAGATTTTAACTCATGGTAGGAAAACTTTGCCTTAACCCACACGCGGCTGGCAGATTGGTGAATCTCCTTCACCGATCTAGCATATATGAGATGGTTATTTCGTCATCTTTGGGAGCCAAAAGATCTTTCTGGAATAAATTTTGGCGACTTTTAACGTTTAATTATCATCAAAGCAAGCATTTATAGATTGACAATGTGTCAGTCAACTTACCGCTGCTTTCAACATCGATCTTATTAATTTCATCCAGTTCTCCGTCCAATATTTTTATATGACTATAGTCATGACTGTACCGCGACATTTCTGTTTCTAAAATACTAGTAAAATCTTCTGTATTCTTATGAGTGAAACTTCTCTTAATTTCATTTAGGAATAGAAACGCTCTTGATCGTTGACAAGTCTAATGAAAAAATATAAAAATGTTTTCACATATAACATATATAAATATATATTATAAACATGTTAATAAATAGAAGTAGTGTTTTTATATTTTGATTTTTATTCTTTGATTAAATTAAATTACTAGGCATCCATTTATCATACTTTAATATAAGAAGTCGTTTAAAAAGAGCCAGTATCTATAATAACAGGCTGTCAGACATCCATCTTAGAGCTCAGGGGTGGCAACACATCTGTCACCTTTGATTGAAGTTAATACCAGGAGTTCATGGGTTGCAGTAACCACTTACCATTACGTGGACTGTTCACTTGTTTGTCACACTTAATATTGACTACTGAATTTTAATTAAATTAAATTATACGCACCCTGTCTGTGACACAGAAGTATATATATTCATTTTCAATTACATAATTAAACAAATACTGTCCATGAATGTATGTCATTTTATTATTTTTAAACGATATTTTTGACAACATTTCACTCACAATATCCATAAAGTTACCATCACAAGTGGCGTATTTATGGATTATATTCTTTTTGTTAGCTATTACACTAAACAAAATTGACATCGTTGTAAAAAAGGTTACGTTCCGTTAACACTTGTTCTTTAGTAGGATACTTTTTTAATATAAACACAAAATAAAATCGATTCGAAGCACAGATTTGTCATTCGTTTTTACCACACTATACTCGACCAGACATTATCGCGCAATAAACTCCGGCGCATTCTTCCGCAAACTTTAACATTTTGTATCATATAAATATCACGCGATCTCTGTTCTAAAATTGGATATAAGTTGTTGACGATTGGCTAAAACTGTTCCGCGCTACTAAAATTGTTTGCAACGGTAATTGATTTATGTGACAAGTGGTGCTAATTTCACTAAAATTATCATTTTTCCTTTTTCATATTTTAGGTTATTAGCTCATTAGGCTTCTCTTTTCAGTTGATAAGGGGGTAGAAAAACATGCAAAGATTACAGCGTAACACTAACACATTACCGTACTGTTATCGTCCGTGGATTTATAAAAATAGAATATAAGACAAATTAATTAACATTTAAACAATAATAACGAATTTAAATAAATTAAGAAATGCTGATTAGGAACAATCAGAATAATACATAGTAAATGTAATAATCAGGCCTACTATAAACGAAAATAACAATGCCCTTGTTACATATTACATATATAATATACTTCATTCTATAAATAAATAAATAAAATATAGAAGGTGAATGCATCTTTTTCTTTATTTAAACTAAAGATTTTCAGATCTATTAAGTCTACAGAATTGTATACATATTATAAACCTAACGGCTTAACTCTTTAAAGTTAGTGGGTCGCGTACTAACTGCATACTTAAAACGTTATGATTGGAAATAAGAATGTTGTCATTATGTATTTCTGTTACGTGTAACTAATCAATTATTTTTTTTTTCAGGAAATATTCGAACTCGTTCTCCTGGAAGTTTTCCCAGAGCTCAAACGCTATCATTAAACTTGGCACAAATGTTCTTAATATGTTACGGTTGTCTTTTACTTAAAGTCAATGAAATTGACTAGGATATATTTTTTTTCAACCAAGGCTGACGAATAAATATTTTTTTCTGTGGTCAGAAACATAGGTACCTATGCTTGTTCGGTCGTGTGTTGTCGTGTGTAGGAATAATATAATTATTCTTATATAAATAATGAAATATATACTATTCTATATTCAGTAGGTAGTCATTGTTCGACATTCTAAACTTGTTCGTTAGCCTACCCATGTTATTGATTAAGATTGGCTTTAAATAAATTAAATTAAAAAAAAAAACATAAATTAAAGAAATATCCTAGCTCATTCATTACATATTTTATAGTAAAATTTTCATACTTGAAATATTTACAGGGACACTATTCCAAAGAAATTCGATAATTTTGATATTTTAATACATTCTCAGAGACATGTTTTATTAATTTTTACCTCTCCGAATACCCCTAATTTATATTATATATTATAATTATAATAAAAAGATGTACGTTTTAGAACTTAACTCATATTTAGGTATTATTTTTGCATAGATATGTGTATAATACTATGTTGTGTCATTTCACTTGCCTTTTCTTCCTTCAATATTAACGGTAATTATTACTTTAAAACGTTATACCATATCAAATTTATAACAAAATTTGTAATGTCCTCTTAAAATAGGTTTGATAACACTATTTCGCCATCATCATCATTACCGCCCATCATAAAACCTCTCCCAAGGAATGCCACAAGCACGGTCCTGAGCCACATCCATCCAGCGACTTCCTACATCACTTACAAGGTCGTCACTAACTCTAGCGGCCGTCTTCACATGACTTGTTTATTTCATAAATATGTGACATTTATTATGACATTTATTAACAATCGGATGTTGATTAGCAAAAACGAATAAACTTATTAAATAATTATTTTTATATTTTTTAAATATTTGTTTATGAATACGCATTTGATTATTATAGTGTTATTTGAGTGTTATGTAAATATATAATAAATAGTTATAATCAGCTTTTTATGTTAAATAAAATTAACCATTTAGTGGCTTAGGGACTAGGCGCTCAACTTAAATTAGTTTTTCCGGTGTTATTATATGCTCAGAAGAAAAAATATATTGAGGATTTACTTACTTCTTTTGAGAATTTAAAAATATTTAAAGAAAAGGTAAACGGGAGGTAAAAGTGAAATGACCAATACAAGTATGTGTGAACGATGATATTAATAACATCGTTTTTGCTAAATTTCATCCAATTATCGTATTTGTTTGTTTTGATCTCACTTTTATTTATAGTTCTAAGGTTTAAATACATCTATAACTGCACTCGCTTTAATAGTGCCAATGTAAAAATTAAATATGTTAAGATGACGTTTTAGAGTAATTTATGCCAGTGTTACCGGCTGATAATTTTGTTGATTTTGTTTACTTTCTGTAAAATCTTAACACTTTCACTGTCCGGTTTTCAGACACAATAGTAACACAATAGCAATGACCTATATGTAGTGCACGGAACAGCGAAAGGGTTAATGCAGGTTTTGCTTGTTATTTTTTCTTGTCTGTTATTTTTTATCCTCTTTCTATATAGTACCTGACTACAAAACTTGTATCTGATATGAATCTCTTAAATATTTCAGTTTAAACATTGTTCTAGTCCTAATAAACATTATTTAATAATGTTCTTTTATAATATTTATTTTTATAAAATTAAAAGTTTTTTTTTTTTTATTTCATACCTATGATTATAACGTTAATAACTTGTTACTATTTAAGTAACTTTTTGCTGACAACTACACGTTCTCTAACGGGCCTATATTTTTGTATATTTTAAATTAAAAAAAATGTAATCGGTTTAAGTAATCGATATTAGATGTAGTTAATTGATGACATGAAATAATTATAAGAAATAATCATTCCAACTTAAAGCGTATTTCGAATAGAATTCTTTGTAACAAACTTGTGTAGTTTAAACGGTGAACTGTGTGTTAAAAGATATTTCCTTTCTGAGATTTTTAGTACTTTAATGTTAAACTGATTGAAATAATTTAATTATTTATTTTCTCTAGTTGTGTTGCGTGTGTTGTCTGCGAACTATATTTAAGTGTTACGTTATATATACGTATGTTGACTAGGTGTAAATATTTAAAATATGTATGTGTCTACATTAAATGCTTAATGAAATTAAAATATTATTTATATTGTAATAAGGATTTTTATTATGTACTAGCTGGCTGGTACCCGGCGGCGAGAAGAAATAATTGTGGAAATATTGTTTTCAATTTGGAAAAGTAATTAGGAATGATACTACATTTACTAAAATGAAATGATATATATATATACAACATCTAACGTAATTAACGCACATCCTCAAACACCCCAATTAGTATATTATGTTATAATCATAATACATACACTGACTTCTTAGTTAAACATGTTTATGCATTTATTATTTATTAAATTAGTTATACAAATTCCGGAAGAATGTTGTGGTCACAGTACAAATCCACGAACGCCTCATATGACCTTAGGTCATATGGGGGTCTTGCTAGTCTTGTAGGTATTCGCTCGCGTTCGAGACGAGTTAACGTCGCCGCCGCTTGACATAACTGTAGGTACGGTAGGTATTAGTGCCGAAAAAGCCGACAATACACGATTGGTTATGTTAAAGAAATACCTACCTATGAACATTAACAGATGTCAGAACTCCGAGCATCGAGTTGTATTTAAGTCTAATAAACATTTTATTGCATCTTTCCATCACACTTTTCAGGCTTTGGACTTTAGACTGAATAATTTTGTTCATTGATTATTATACAATGTCAATAGGCAAAAATCGTTACAATATGTTATGAATTTGCATAACATTTTAATTGTAATTGTAAATAATAAAGAACTGCTAAAAATAAGAGGCGATACGACAACATAATAATTCAAAGATGGCGTGTTTAAAAGATGTGAATCAAGATTACAATAAGTTTAAGAATGAAATATTTAACTTACCGATAGCCTAAACTCTCATGCAACTTTGTATTTTAATACACTTTCAAAATGTTCACCACCCTGTTCAATATATTTTAATGACTCTTTTCTTAAATGATATTTTAATTTAAAAAGCAATTCAGTGTCATTTTTCACTATTCTAAAAGCGTTCACTATCCTATTTTTAGGTCCTCGGCACTTGTTGTCTCACTAAAATAAACTAATGATCCCCACAAAAAAAATGTCAAGAGGGGTCAAATCAGCTGATCTGGGAGGTCAATAGACAGGGCCGCCGTGACCGATCCAAGGCACTCCAAACTCTGTATTTGTAAAGACTTTACGAGGGCGGCACTGAAAATTTCGGGAATCAAGGAAGTGACACAACATTACTATTTAAAA